CATATATATATATATATATATATATATATATATATATGTTGCGTCATCGAGATCATGTGATTCTCACGCCCTCTACTTTCCAGAACTATCCCGTATCTTGGCGAATGCTCTAGTATTGACTAGATAGAGGGTAAACTGGTATATATAAGAGGGGGACAATGTGACGCGGTAGTGTATTGTCTGTGTAGATAGTGAGTAATTGATCTGCAGTCAGAAGTATTATTGACGTTCGTTGTTATAGCATTTGTTTAGCGCGATTGTTGAAGTTGAGTGTATCGGTAAAGTTGTATTCGGAAAGAATAAACCAGTTTTATTAAGTAAAGAACTTGTGTCACTAAAGTTTCGTCGGAACGAAGTTACGGAAAGTTAATTAACAAACGGAGACGTAACAATATAATACAAACAAAAAGTACGTACATGTTTATTGGTTAGAACAATCTAAATAACAAAAGGCAGATATACACTAAAGGATGCTAAGAAATAAGTTTAAAAAAGTGAAAAGTAATCTAAATAGGTTATAGTTTTTAAATACCATGTTACAATAGCTGTGGTATAAAATCCATATACAAGTATGATGCAAAATAGTTTTTAACATAGAAAAAATACACAGTATTTGCAATCTTGAATCATGAACTACAAGTTACCAAAATAGTACATTTGTAATTTTTTTATTTATTGTTAGTATGTACATTACATTTCTCATATAAATTTATACATTCCAGAAGTAGGTTGAAAAGAAATGCTCTGAGACTTGTACAAGCTAACACACACAATAAATCAATTTATAAATTCTGGAATACTTTCTTATACTTAAGATCCTTTAAATAAATGCAAAATAATTTAGTGGATACACATCCAAGCAAGCAAAACAGGTTGAACTCCAATACATTTCTTGATACTGCATTACACAAGGTTTCTCAGTTATGACTACTTTAATATAAGCCCAGAAAATACAAATGTAAAAAAATTAAGTTTGTTTTTGATTTACTTCAGTAAAATGCAACACATTATTTAGAGTCACAGTCATAATAACAATAACATTATTGAATATATTGGTAAACTTTCACGTATCTGAAAAACTAGACATCCAACATCAAAATTAGTGGATGTTACGAAATTGTTAAGAAAATATAAGCTAGACATCTATTTGGATAATTATACCATTGTTCTATCTAAACCGATTTCTCATAAAATGTAATATTAATGTAAGCAAATCTCTTATAAGAAAAATCAAACTAAAGCAAATGACTTGTGAAACCCCATTTCTTCACCACTAACTGTGTAATTCTACTAGTTTTAAAGAACTGAAAGATAAATGGGTTCTTACACTTTTCTATTTAGCAACAAACCTGGTGGAAGAAAGATATAAAACGAAGCCATGAAAACTTATAAACTTAATATTTAAAAACATGTTAGTGCACATAGATAAATATATTAAACAATAAAAAAAGAATGTTGATTTAATAATTGTAAAAATAATAACTTAAACAGAAAACAATGTCAATTAATCCCTTGAAAATTAATCTTGTTCAATCAAATTTCCAGCAAGAAAATGACGGCTGTATTTTATATCTCTAAATGAGAGTAACTAATTATAAACATTGTTACTAAACACATTTTGTTTTAATTTTATTACAGTTAATTACATATTTTGTACAAACAGCAAATGTATGATGCCTCTTTCAATAGCTCTACTCGCACACATCAAATATATATAATCTAATGATGAATATCTTATTAGAGATGATGTACAGGAATATATCAAAGTGACTGCTTTATATTACATAAACAAATGTTATGATACCAAATGAAAGTTTTAAAACAGATAATAAAACTCGACCATACTACATCAATGTTACAGTTCATAGCATTTTTCCATCACAGCACAGCAAATGACAAGAGTACCATACATCTGTCCTTTAGAGAATAGGCCAAGTTTTATCAATAAATGGAAAGCAGCTGCCTGATTTAATATCATATCATATATCATAATAAATATTGATGATTACATAACTAAAAATTAATCTCTACAAATATTTGTTAACACAACAGCAGTCTGTATTTGAAATGTATTTTTGACTATTTTTAATATAAATGTAACAAAGGATACTTATAAAATAGATGTAAAACAATTAAGGATACAGTAAAATAATGTAGGATTTGTACTAATGATCAACCTGCACATTAAGAGCATCTCTGCATTAAGGAGAAAAAAGTCAAACCCAAAGTGTTTTTTTGGAGTCAGGTTTAACTTCAATGTTTTTATACTGATACAGAATACAAAAAAGAATGTCCACCTGTCTGTTTGTTTCTCGAGAACATTCGACTCCTCCTTCCTCAAGAGTGTAGTCATAATCAAAGAGAAACAGCAACATGTGGAACAGCACTCCACTTTGGAATAAGTGAGTCTGCAATACACTATCAATAGCAAAGGCACTAACACAGCTGACAACAACTGAACAAAGATGAGGAAGGTGCTGTAATTAAACATACAAGTTTTGTTTAATAAAAAAAAACGGATTTTGAGAGAAGTATAGATTTATTATTAACAGTACTATGAAAACTAATTATCATTTACTATAGAGATCTAAAAATCTTTAAAATTAACATACCTTTCTAAACCTTACAAAACCTGAATTCATCCCTAACTGTTCAAAGTTGCTCTTTTTTAATAGTAACAAATAAACATGCATTAGCAAGGAAAATTTTATTTCATAAAAACATTTTTAACACTAATTTCATACTAAAAAAAATTCTCAGTATCATGCAATGAAAAATTCAACCTTTAGGATGAGTATTCGACACAAGTCCTTTATCATGTCTGGCATCTCTGAGATACGTTGACGACAGTCTGGAAACTTGGCAGCAACAGCAAAGCAAGAAGCAATGTGTGAGCACACCTGTACTTGAAGGTCATCAGGCTTGGAAGAATGGCTCAATACTCCCACACACCTTGAGAAGGCATCTCGCAGTAACTAGTAATATACATAAACTAGCTTACATTAATTTATGAACAGTGAACAACCTTTATTCATGTCATATATATTAGTTTTCAATCATCATCACAGTATATTAGAATTTCACTAATAAACTAAAATAAACGTCTGTGACTGAGTATTAGTCACGTTATATGTACATGATACCTCTATCTATCACTTAAGGTGTCACATTACAGTGACTGACTGACTTCAGCACTGTCGAAACTTTATAACTGCTTCACTCTATCAAAAAAACAAAAGGACTGCACCTATACCAAACCTTCCAGTCAGGTAAAAGTTCTAATGTGGTATCCCACAATCCTAGATTACCTACCTTAGAAATCATTCGCATTATACATATTCAAAGGAAGTTTAACTTATGTTCATCTGCACTTAGGTATGACTCACACCCCCACAGAAAAAACGTAATAGGCAATACAGAAGTTTGATCAAGTACTCATGTGCATGTAAACTTGGCCTGCACAATAAATTTTAAAACATTTTCCTGGATATATATTAATTGGGATATTTTTTTAGTCAAAAGAGTATATCTGGCAGTTTTGAACTGCCATGTAGCTGGGTATTCTATAATTATTATGAACCAGCTAAAATCTATAATATTACTATCAAAATTATTGAAATGTATGATTTTCTGATATTTGTCTAGACTACTAGGGAAGTAAGAGAGATTATTCTAATTGTTTGTTTGTTATTAAGTACATGGCGAGACAATAGGCGGTCTGAGCTCTTCCCACTGTGAGTATTGAAACTTAATTTTTAGCTTTACAAGCCCTCAGACTTACAGCAGAACCAATATGGAGCTGACTACTGTGAATTCTTTAATGAAAATAAATATAACATGTTACTGACATCATCAGGTATTATATTTGAAAACATGTAAGAGAAGAGAGAGGTTTATAAGGTTATAAATGATATTAAGTAAAAGTTATCTAAGTGCAAAAAAATGTAGCTTACTTCCAAGCCCCCTTCTCGTCTTAGTTCCTCTGCATTTAATGCTGAGCAGTTGACAGTATGATAGGCTGTTTCTGTGGCAGCAGCCAAAAGACTCTTTGTTTTGGAGAACAGATGTTCATCTTCTGTTTCCATTCGAATTGTCTTAATCAACATAGGGTATCCTGCATACTTGTATGGGTGGAGCTCTAGTGAACAAAAACAGACACTATGTAAATTCTGTATACAGAGACATGCATGTACATATAACTGTTAAATATAAAACATTTTGTTAAGTACCAACTCCACGAAAGCTTTTAATAGCATTCATTACATGAATAAATCTTATAGCATAGTAGTTGAAAATTCATGTTTAAACTTGCTGATATTAAATCACAATTTAGCTAAGGTGTATTATTTAGTAAAAGAAGAAGAAAAAAAATTTCTGTACAACATAAAATTGCCAACAGCATATTTAAAAATGAACACTACTAAATAACAAAGTAGCTAGTTGTATTAAGATCGCTGAACTAGGAAACTTGGACAATTTCTCAGTTTCTTCTTTGTCTTTCGATCACAGTTAAATATCTTTCTTTCAAAAAATCTAATAAATTTCCAATGCTCCTGATTATCTAATTGTTATTATTTAATTAAGGAACACAGACCTAAAAGAGTTTTGAAAAATCCCTGACATAACAAGCTAGGATTATCTAGTTATCAATTCAATACTATAGATAAATTGCTCATAAAATAGTAAAACAGAGCTTCTATGATACTAACCATCTTTGTAGCGACTGAACAGTATGCTTTGAGTGTTCAATATCAGTATAATGTCTGCTGGATTTGGACCTTCTGTTTGGCGAGATGATTTACTGCACAGGAACTCGTATGCCTTGTTCACCTCTTCAAAGATTTCCTAAATTGAAGAACAAAAAAAACAATACCTATATTAAAAGCAATAATTAAACATGAATATAATCTGCATTTTATTATTTACTGAGGTAAAACTGCAAAGTAAGAAAATGTGTGTAATTTTATGGTCTGATATAATATGTACAACTAAATCAGATATCGTATTAAATAATGATACGCATAAACACAGATACACAGCTATATTTTATATAGTAAGTGAAAGTAAAGGAGCTTCCATAGGTACACGTACTGCATGTAAAAGAAGTAACCCACATACTTAAAAGTTAGATAAAAGAACAGAGCATGTCACAATACAAAATGTTACCACTACTAACATTACATCAACACATGATACTAATGATGTCGTGAGTATTAACCTACCTCTTTCACTTTTTTTCTTTATTGAAGTCTTATTTTGTTTTATTACAATAATGTTTTATTTTACATTTTTGAATATTAGGTTCACACTAAATAATTTTTATATTTTCATTTTCACAGTGATGTTGTGTATCATTAAAATTCTGACAGCTGTGTGATGGAGCAAGTCCATGTTCTTTCACTGTTGAACTTAAATTCTGTCCAGTCTCCCATATATAAAGACTATTAATACAATCTATATATTTTAAACTATAAACACAATTTTGAAATTACGGCGAAGTTAATTCTTTTTTTTTTTGCAAAAAGAATTCAACTTATTTCATGGTAAAAAATTAACTTACCCTTGATGGAAAGTTTATATACATTGTCTACTTCATGTTGTATCCATTTTACTGCAGCTGACAAACCAGGTCCATGAGGAATGAACAGTAAACCAAGTCACCTGAATGAATTTTCTTTTCTTTTGGACACTTTTTGAGTAACTAAACTTTTTTTTACAACATTACTGGAAAAATTGTTTCTTTTCACTTATTTCCTCATACAATGCTTTTATTAAATTACAAATAACTTTATTTGATGCCAATAAAGTTTTCATAACCCCTTATTTTTCAGACTCAATATGCATAAAGATCAGTTTTTCTCTCTAAATGCTTTTGTTTTGAAAGCATTATTTACTTTACAGATAGCTCTCACAACTTCTCTTACTTGTTTATAAATTGAATAATCAGCTATAATAAATTTAGAAATGTTATTAACTCTTCAGTTTTTTGTCCAGAAACAAAGTCAGCAAAGGTATCATCCACATATCTGACATAAAAACAAAGTACTAAATTAAGCAAACTCTGACTTTGTAATCAAGCATGTTCATGAAGCTGTTAGTGTAGAATGTATGGATTGTGATAGTCTATATAAATGAATTATGCAGAATTACAGTCCAAGAATACAAAAACATGAATGTGCTTTATCACACATCTATCAACATTTTAAAAATACATACCATCACAGTGAAAGCAAAAATGTAAACATTATTTGCTATGAACCTAATACATATATTTATTTTATGAATAGGTTAATTTATAATGTCAACAGTAGTAGTAGTAGTAGTAGATAAACATGTTTTATGTGTACTGTACCAGATAATGCCACTTTAATGGTAATGAAGCATTATAAATTCTGTTTTTAAGTTGTTTGTATTTTAACTTTTATTGGCACTCTAGTTAAGTATATCTAGCTTCATTGTTGTATAAAGTTTAAATACACTGAGGTTGAGCACATTATATAAAAATTATTTTGAGGCCTTACCACATCTTTACAGTCTATGTTGCCACATCAAATCATGTTCTACTTAATGACTGTGCATTTTGACAATAGCCCTGCAGCAAAGTTTTTATTGAAAAAAGCTCTGTCGTAAGGCTATTATGTCCAAAGCATACTTTTCCTCATTTCATATGCCATTTAGTGTACTAGAGTGATGGCTTCCCTGTAATCATTTCAACAATCCAATTGCACAGAAATCTATAAGCAGTGTGTTTGGCAACTCGACCAGTATATCTTCATATGGAATAGCATGAATATCTGTTACAACTTTAATCACTTTTAAGGATAACTGCCTTCCCACAGCTGGTTGCAGACAGTGAAGGGCAGTAGGAGTTGAGACGTTGTAGGTGTAAGCACTCAACTCCATACCCTTAATTGATTTTCAATGATTACTGGCTTTAGATTTTTTCTGATACGTGGTATATCCCCGATGCATTTGGGAGCTATTACCACAGGTATTATCTGACATTAAGGGGACAACTAGGACTGACAATGGAATCCTTACCAAAATCTTTTTAATGCTTATTTTATATCAAGTTCATTATTGTTTTATAGTACAGATTTTAATTGCCTATTAACAATTAAAGTAATTAATAGTATTGAAGCTATTTATTTCAAATTATCTCTGTTATGATACATGTATATTCCTCTATTTTAATTTAATTCAAAATTTCTATGAGAGTATTATAAGAACTTATGAGTGAAAGTACAGAATAATATAATAATATGTCAACCACACTATATCAGCTATGCCCAATGTTGACAAGACCCAGTACCAGGGTTCATCAGGTTGGGTGGGAGGATATGATAAACATAATAGTGATTTAGATGCTATTTATATCATTAGTTGCTTGAGCAATTGAACTGTTTGATGACAAAACCTTGTCGAAACATTGTACATTTGCTGTTATGTTAACTTAAATT